ACAGTATATGTGGTTTAAATCCCATTTTAATCGTCTGCTAGAACATTTTGTGTGTAATTATTGTTTACTTTTTATGCTATTGTTTATTTCATTTATTATCTCTGTTGGATATAAATTGTAACAACTTCTGATTCTATGGTTTAATTTAATCTTGGTGAACTGAGCTGCCTATTCTGTGGACTGAGAGGTTTGATTGGCCAATTTATTTCATTTATTGGTTCAGACACCTAACTCAACAGAGCTCTACTTCTATCTAGTGGCTAATTAAAAAAAAAAAAAGTCAATCCATATTTAAAATTATGTTTGTCTCCTGCACCCACAGCCCAGAGATGACACTCAAAAACAATTGTGTGCTGTGGAAGATTATTTAAAAGCATCACTTCCTGAAAATCATTTCTCTAAAGTAGCAACATTTCTGCCTTCCTAGTTAGCTGGGATACTTCTTCAGATAAATAAGAACAGAACTTACTTTTGCCTGAAAGATTGAAGTAATTAAGGTAAAAATAAATTACCTGGATCAGTGGTTCTCAATTCTCCATGCTCATTAGAATTCGCTAGGGAGCTGTTAAAAATTACAGACCCAGGTCCCCACTCCTAAACAACTAGAGCAGGGAGTGGTCGCTGGCATTGTGCTTTTTCAAAAAGCTCCCTTAGGTGATTCTAATTCATATGCAAGGTTAAAACAGTGATTTAGGTAGCTAAAGGCCAGAAAATTAATGAAATAAATCTCAGTTCATGTTGTGATTTGAGGCATGGAGATTATTGCTTCATTGCCACTTGTTTTGCTTGGTTGCCTGCAACTTGAAATATAAACATTTTCCGAGAGGCAGCTGACCCCCCTTACAGTCTGTTACCAACCTAGTTTTCAGACCTCAGCTCTACCCTGCTTCAACTTTGAACGGAAAGCCCTCGGAACATTCCCTTCACTTTTATTCCTTCATGTTTTCAGTTTCTTGCTTGTTTTCTCTTGGTCAGACACGAACCCACTGCTACACTTGGCCACTCCATAAGTGCCAGTTTGAAAGACATTGTCTCTGTGACAGAGTACTACTCATAATTATTTTATTTAGTGCTGATTTGTGTAGATTGAGTCATGGGTGTGTTTTCCCAGAGACAAAGCCACATTATCTAGCAATAACTGTACAGTTAATGTCTCTCTTCAAATTATAGCTACCCAAGTACATATGTCTTACGCTGTTTAGTAACGCTAACACTAATAGTTGCTTAGGTGTGCAATCCCAAAAGGAGCCATATGATTTAGGTTTATGAATATTTCATATAGAAATTTCAGTTCTGTTCTGAACAGTTGCAAATTCCAATAGCTTATTCCAACTTCTTAAGTTGTTTAAAAGATGACCACAATGTACAACTTGTTTTTCTGATGGAAATAAAGCTATTCAGACTTTACACGAATTAGAGATATTTAAAATATCCAGGCATCCCTGTTCTTCTGACATTCTGTCTTTGCACAGTTGCCTGCAGTATGTGTTCCCAATGGGAAATAATGGATATCATTTCTTTATTTCTTCACTTTTTTCAGCTTTGACGCCAGAAGAAGGACGCCAACTTGCTAGCTCCCTGATATTTGATAGGCATCTGACTAAAAGGACCCTGCGATGAGAATCAGCATTTTTTCCAAGACAGGAGTCGTGAATTCTCTCCTTCAGAAAGAGAGATACGTCCTTTAAAAGGGTCCAGAGCATTTCCTGCCAAGCTGCCTCGGCCATATGAACACCTATTAGAGTCACTAGGCGGAAGGCCACAGGAAGCAATCCCTCCGTCCTTCCAGAACAGAAAGAGCACACACGCCCTAACGTAGGCCAAGAACTTGAACGGCGGCAAGACTACAGACCAAGAATACACGCATCTGAAGGGAGCATTTGACTCTGTATGTGATCTCTCTTCTTTACGTTTTCCCACTGCTGTATATTTTGTGAAACAGACCAATAATGTGAACTACACAAGTGATTTTTGTTAATCTTCGGAAACCTAAATCTTCTTAAATTAGAAAGCTGATTCTTTTCAAAGGGCAGTTTGTTGTGAGTCACAGACACACTGTAATTTCTGAGACACAAATATCTTTGAAGGATAGTTTCAATATATTCTGACAGAAGAAAAACTCTGTAATTGAGAATCTGCTTAATTTTTAGGTAAGACCCGATAACATCCAGCTGACTCCATGCCTAAGAGGTCTTCCTCTCAAGTCTTTATTGATCAAGACCCTAGATTTTCCATCAGACTCCAATACCTCTGCTGGATGCGCAACCAGAGCTGACCACTGGAGGGCGTCTGGACGCTTCCAAACAGCTCCGTGGCGCTGCAAATCCCGAGCCGGGACTGGAAGCGCAGGAGAAAGGGATGTTTGATTTTACTGGGCTAATAAGTAAAAGGGAAAACTGGCAGGTGTGGGAGGAAAGCTGAACTGTTTTCTTTCTTGGGATCAGTCCTTCCTACCGAAGCCGCAAACTCACGAGAGAGCAAAAGGGAAAAATACTACTCCGGCCGAGACTGCAAGCCCGGAGAAGGGGTCTCTCGGGCCTTCGTCCCCGGGCGCTCGGGCTCCGGCGCTGGCGACGCGCGGTCTCCGGGGCTCCCGACCGCTCGCTGCCGGGAGTCCTGGAACCGAGGTTGCTTCAGCAGCGCGCGAGCGCCTTTTCCTCCCGCCGCCGCCTCCCGGGCTCCCGCCGCGGCTCTTCCTAGGGGGCAGGGCCGGCGGCTCGAGGACAGGAGCGCAGCGAGGCCGCCGGCCGCATTTTCTTCCTCCCTCCCCGGTGCAGGTTCACTCGGGGTTGTGATCACTTTGAACTGAAATTTCCCCCGATTTTCTTTCCCTAACATGCCTGCAGTGCATCACTGTAAAGCGAAGTTCTGCTTCTTCCTGAGAACCTGCAAGGGCTGGGACCCAGGCCCGGGCGCCGAGAGCCGCGTCCGCCAGGTCGGGGCGGGCCGTGCGCCCCCGGGGGGGCTTCCCAGACAGCTCCCGGCTCTCCGTCTACGGAGCGGGAAGAGGGTGCTTTAGCGTCAAAGGACCCCGCTCTCAAGGAAAAAGATGTCAACTCACGCCTGAGCCAGACGCAATTTGGCGCCCAAAGGGTTACCGCGGCGGCCGGGCGCAGGCGGAGAGCGCGCCCGGCGCTCCCCGTAATTCAATTAGTCAGGTTTCAAGAAGGTGGGGCGCTGGGGGTGGGAGGTGCGGAGGGAGGGGTGAGGCTGACGCCTCTTTCTCGTGGAGCACACCAATCCGGTTAGAGTAAAGAGAGAGGAAAAAACCCGATCTGTAAGCAAACAGCAGGCCGGCCCCTGACTGGCTGCTCCAGCGCCCCCCACCTACCCAAGTAAACTGCGAGCAAGGAAAAAAAAAGGCGCCCACATGACCCGGCCGCGGCGGCAGCAGCGCTGGCTGGGCGCGGGCTGGCGGCGCCTCCCCCCGCTCGGTGCAGCGCTCAGCCCCGCGCCGC